GTTGTAACCGACGGCAGAAAAGCTTCAACTGGTAGCGCGATTTGTTGCGACTAGCGTCTTGCTAGGGCAAGATAAGACAAAAACGCTACAACCGGCAATGTGATTTGCTGCGACGACCGGGTAAAAAGAGCTGCAATCAGTGATGGGATGCTCGAGCCGTGGCCAATGAAGCTGGAACCGACGGGTTTTTTTTTGCTTCAGCCGATAGAAGCGGTCCTGCGACAACACCAGGTGGCAACAACTGACACTTGTACACAAGCAAGAGCTACAACAAGATTGTAATGGTGAGGTTGCAAGCACATCGTCAACAACGAGGCCTTTCACGTCCATGGTTGGGGCTGGGACGGTCAGCGACGCTCACTGTCGCTCCACCTACATGCGTGTAACACCCGGGATGTAACTTGCCATATTTGTAACTCCGACTCTTGCCATTTTCGGCTTTAAGTTATGAGATTCCCTTCGTGGTTGGATTTTGTCTTTGTTTTGCATTTTGTTCATGTCATGCATTTCATATCATGTCATCATGTGCATCGCATTTGCATTCGTGTTCGTCTCATGCATTCGAGCTTTTTCCCCGTTGTCCGTTTCGCAATCCGACACTCCCACACGCATCCGGCGCACCCCTCTTGTCTCTTTCGTGAGCGGGATGAAAACGTTCTTGGAATGGATCTAGATTTGTCAAGTGGCCTTGGTACATCACCGGTAGACTGCCTGTCAAATTTCGTTCCATTTGAAGGTCGTTTGATGCCCCAACGATTAACTGGGTAACCACAAAAGCCCCTTGTGTGTTGCAGCCCAACACCCCTCCAAAACATCCTAATAACCCATCTAAACTACCTCCATGTTCTCCGTCGTCGGATCACGATCGTGTGGGCGAAAACCGCACCTTATTTGGACACTCCTAACTCCTTCTACCTATATATATGCACCCCCCCTCCAAAAATCGTAGGTGAAACCCTAGACAAACTCCTCCCCGCGCCGCCGAACGCATCCATCCGTGCCGGACTCGTCCGCCGGCCACGCCACTGATACGTCTCCAACGTATCTATAATTTTTGATTGCTCCATGCTATTATATATTCTGTTTTGGATGTTTAATGGGCTTATTTATACACTTTTATATTATTTTTGGGACTAACCTATTAACCGGAGGCCCAACCCAAATTGTTGTTTTGTTTTGCCTATTTCAGTGTTTCGCAGAAAAAGAATATCAAACAGAGTCCAAACGGAATGAAACCTTCGGGAGCGTGATTTTTGGAACAAATGTGATCCAGAGGACTTGGAGTGGACGTCAAGCAACCAACAAGGAAGCCACGAGGCAGGGGGCGCGCCTACCCCCTGGGCGCGCCCTCCACCCTCGTGGGCCCCTCATGGCTCCACCGACCTACTTCTTCCTCCTATATATATCTATGTACCCTAACAACATCGAGGAGCACCACGAAAACCTAATTCCACCGCGGCAACCTTCTGTACCCGTGAGATCCATCTTGGGGCCTGTTCCGGCGCTCCGCCGGAGGGGGCATTGATCACGGAGGGCTTCTACATCAACACCATAGCATTGCCGATGATGTGTGAGTAGTTTACCTCGGACCTTGGGGTCCATAGTTATTAGCTAGATGGCTTCTTCTCTCTCTCTTTGGATCTCAATACAAAGTTCTCCTCGATTCTCTTAGAGATCTATTCGATGTAATCTTCGTTTGCGGTGTGTTTGTCGAGATCCGATAAATTGTGGGTTTATGATCAAGATTATCTATGAACAATATTTGAATCTTCTCTGAATTCTTTTATGTATGATTGGTTATCTTTGCAAGTCTCTTCAAATTTTCAGTTTGATTTGTCCTACTAGATTGATCTTTCTTGCAATGGGAGAAGTGCTTAGCTTTGGGTTCAATCTTGCGGTGCTCGATCCCAGTGACAGTAGGGGAAACGCCACGTATTGTATTGTTGCCATCGAGGATAAAAAGATGGGGTTTATATCATATTGCATGAGTTTATCCCTCTACATCATGTCATCTTGCTTAAAGTTTTACTCCGTTCTTATGAACTTAAT